AAAAAGATGAAAAGTGAATAGTGTCGAAAAATAAAAAATGTGGAAATGACGCGATCCCTTAAGGAAGTTGTCAATCCAAAGGAAAGAGTCTTATAAACAATTTTCGAGCACTTGAGATGACACTAAGTGATAAGAAACCAAACTCAGAAAGGAAAAGATAACGGAAAAAATTTATCCTTAAAATTTGTGGAAAAAAGAAAGGAAGAAAAATGATCGGGTCTTTACAAATCAATTAATCATCCTACACTCTTATAAATCTCACTAAGACCTAAATCTACAGTAATGGAGGAAAAAAAGAAATTAATCATAATTAAATCCTAATCCAAAAATTCAAAAATTAACCAATAGGCCAGTGGCCTAGTGGTACCAAGCCTTTATTTCTCAAAGAGAGGTCAAGGGTTCGAGCCTCTGTGGAAGTATGTGTGTGTGAGTGCCCAACTAGGAAAAAAAAAAAAAAAAAAAAGCCGAATCCAAAAATTCAGGGTATTACATTTGTCATCCCAAGTCAGCATCAAGCCCATAAGTTAAGAAATTTACTCATTATATTTTATTTTACCATATATGCAAATATACCACTTTGTACATTATATTTAGGAAAAATTAGATTTCAAAAACCGTTGAAGATAATTAATAAATTTTCAAGTAATGGATAATATTAAGATAAATCACACCAGTACTAAGAAAATCATCCATTGAAAGTTCAATTCTAACAAAAACCACTCATGGCTATTATCAATTGATTAGCTCATGGTTCTGAGTCAAAATTCCATTCCACGGAAATGAGACATAAGACAATGATTTTGGTTCTAGGTTTAATTTGTCCTCGTTAGAGAGTCATGCACAATTTTTTATTTTATGCAATTCTTTGTGTTTTCTTAAACTGAAATTTGTTAACTTAAAAATAAATAATAAATAAAAACTGTATGTAATAAAATCCAAACAAACATAGGTCACATCAAAGATTGATGATTTAATATAAAACCTAAATAGAAGATAATCATCACAGTTTCAACCATTTGAAGATAATATGCAAAAATAAATATATACACACACCTTTTATACATATGCTAAGTATTGTATAATTAGAAAAATATACAAACCCCGATCCTATGTTCAAGCAAAGACATCATTGCTCCATTTAAAGGTGAAACTCTGAGAAGGGTAATTTGGGATATAAATCACAATGATCGCTTCTTTGCAATTAAGTTTTAAGTTTTAAGTTGAGTCACTATATATTCATCTTCTTTTTACTTTTTTTTAAAATTTATGGTAATTTTACATCAAATTTATTTAGGATTGGTCACTAAAATCTAATTTTTCCTATATATTAATATATATTATACGAAAGCTGTATGTATAAATTAAAAACTTGGGAAATACGAATTTAACTTAACCGGCCAAGTCATTTTTTTACCCCTTCACTGGACCATTTCTGAGAGAGTAACTGAAGAAGATTTTTTTGTTCATTGATAACCATATAATCTAAATTCACTAGGATCATTTAATAATTCCTCACATCACTAACCAAAAATACCTTATATTTAAATGGCATGAAAGGTGAAACATAATATAACCAATCAATGAAATTATATTAGATACTATTTTAAAAACCCTTTTATATTAATTATTATTTTTTAATAATAAATTAATTTAAATAATATTAATTAAGAAAATAAAAAAACTCATAATAATTAGATAATTAAAAGAGTTTTTATAAAAGGGGCGTCGAAGAAAAAATTTTGTTGTACAAGTTGTTGAAAAAAGGGGCGTCAACCAGAAAGGGGTCTTAGGCAGGGGTGTCCTCTGTCTCCACTTTTGGTTACTTTGGTTACTATTTATTTTTCTGGTATGATGGATTTGGAAGTTTAGAAAGGTAAAGTGGTGCCTTCTTAAGCTGCTTTACAGGCTGGTTTACCTATTACTCATCAATTTTTTGCAGATGATCTGTTACTTGTGATTAGAGCAAATATGGGAAGTGTTTTAACTTTGAAAAAGTTGCTGACTCAATTCGAAAATACTACTGGTCTAGCTGTGAACAAAGATAAATCTGAAGTTTATCTTACTAGATCAGTTAGAAGAAAGAATTCCATTATCAAGTCCTTGGGTTATAAGGTAGGAAATTTACCTTTCACTTATTTAGGATTACCTATATCTGATAAAATGCTGAGGAGAGCTGATTGTTTAAGTCTGGTAGATAAAATTATTTCATTACTTCAAGATGGAATGGTCTACATTTGTCTATGGAAGGTAGGGTGGAACTTAGTAGAGCTGTTATTATCCCAATGGTTCAGTACTAGACATCAGTTTATACTCTTCCTATTGTTGTCTCTAGTTGCATTGAAAGAAGAATGAGGAACTTTGTGTGGGGTCATGTTGAAAATTCTAAAAAGATGCATGGTATGAGATGGAAAAAGATTATTGCTACCAAAGAGGAAGGGGGTTTGGGTTTGAGAAGAATCACAGATATTGACATTGCTGGGAAAATCAGTCTTGCTTGGGACTTTTTATTGTCTAAGGATAGGCTGTGGGTGGCATGGTTTTCACATTGCTATTTGAAAAAGGCTTCTTACTGGAATATGATTCCTAAATTTGCTTCTTCAGCTATCTGGAGGAGTATTATTGATGTTAAAGAGATTCTGAAGGTCAATTGCAAATACATTTTTGGAATTAGGTAGAATGTTAAAGTATTTATAGATCCTTGGTGAGAAGGTAGGTTCTTGAGAGAACTTTTTAACCATAGGATTCTTGGGTACTTGAGTCGTGATAAGAAGATTAGTATGTGTGATTTCATTACAAATGGTCAATGGGATGATGACAAACTGAGCAACACTTCACAAGAGATGATACTGCTGTTTAAAAATCAGTTGATAACAAGTGGGGTGGATCAGATTAAATGGATTCAACCGTTTTGTTTTAAGGTTGCATGGGAAGCTACTAGAGTGAAATTGGAGGATGTGATTTGGGCTGGTTTATGTTGGAGTAGGGGGAGGCCAAAATGACCGATTCTTTCTGTTTTGGTTATGCAAAAAACAATTATAACTCAGACTTTTTTTGCAGTAAAGAGGTTTTAATTTAGCATCAAGATGTTATCTTTGCTATAAAGATGAAGAAACTTTGGATCATTTGTTCTATAATTGTGATTATACTTGGAAAGTATGGTGTTTTTTGGTTGAAATATGTGGATGGAATTTGCAAAAGGGGCTTAGGAATTCACAAATTAGCAACTCATTTTATTCAAGTTTAGCAACGAAAGGATTTTAAGAAGATGGCTAGAGTTATGTTTGCTACAATATTGTATTTCACTTGGTGGGAAAGGAATAATCGTTTACATGATAAGCAAGAAAGAGTGGCTAAGGAGCTAGCTAAAAGTATATTATGGGAGGTTCTTGATGTGTTAGAGGTTAACCTGCAGGACATTTTGTAATTTTCTGTTGCTTTTAGTCTAGTTTTTTATGTCCTTTTTTTTTTTAGGACTTGGTTTGTTTACCTTATGAGGACATGTCCTCATATGTTTCTATGTACTATTTTGTTTTATATATATATTCCTTTCATTTAGGACAAAAAAAAAGGCGTCTAGCATTGTACTATTGAAAAAATTCAAAAGATAGAGGCTATTTAAATTTTTAATATTTTCTTATATATTAAAAAAAAAACGTTTAATGAAAACACTTTAATAAACTTTTAATGAAAGGATAAACCTTATTACTTTCATTTTGTTTACAAAAATATGTATTTAAATTCTCAATACTGTGAAAGTGGTTAGTAACCTAAGTCACACAATCCTTTTCAATAGGTGTCGCTCTCACACTTCCACTCTCATGGTTCACATGCACATGCTTGCTCAAATTCTCACTACTTATGACTTGATTCTGCCACTCCCGCTTCATGTGGCGTTCATAACTATTGAAAAATGCAAAAGAAAAATTCAAAAAGTGCAAACTATTTAATTTTTTATTAAATATTTAAAATATTAATTGATAAAATATATAAACATCACTAAATTAGAAGGAAAAGATATACTTACTATTATTTTAGGGTAAATTACACTCAGATCCCCTGAGGTTAGGTCATTTTTCAGTTAGATTAGCATTCCGGTTTTAGATTTCACTTATATTTGAATTAGTGGTTTAACATTTCATTTACACCCCAAATGTCAAATTTTGGTGGGGCCATAGTACTTTTGAGGTGTTAAATGACTATCCTACCCTTTGACCTCCTGTTGACTAATTTTGTGACCAAAATTCCCTAACATACGCCTTCTTTTTTTTCCTCCTCATACCATTATCATCCCGAATTCACCCTAGACAAAACCACTGCACCACTCCTCAAAATTACACACATATATATCTATATAGATATTTAAAATAGCCAAACATATATATATATATATATATATATATATATATATATATATATACAAATATATATCTATATATATATGTATAGATACATACACACATATATGTATATAGAATCATAGATATATACACACATACAAAACAGACAAGGGAGCCAGTCGGCCAAATCGATGATGGAGGTTTGGGTTGTGGATTAGATGTGGACACCATGAGGTAGCCGACGAGGTGTAAACGACAACACTTAACTCACCGACCTCCCAACCCTCTCTGATTTGCCTCGATCTCAAAACCCAACACAACTGTTGCCGCTCTATCACCGAGAAGAAGCATAGTGCCGGAAAGACCCAAATCTTATCCATCATCGCTCTATCGCCCGACGTTGTCTCTATTGCCACCGACAAGAAAATAAATTGGTACTAATTCTGTAATGACCCTGGATTTTTTCAACCCAGTATGTACTGTTATGAACCGAAAGTTGACCCGATAACGGATCCGAAATGCGGAAGCAAAAGATAAATCCAAAGTCTATAGAGATGCAAACCATCCCCAAGACACCAATGTGACTGTAACGCCCCGAATTTTTTCTAAATAAAATCCTCGATTTCATTAAATCAAAATACTTTATAAAAGACACCCAGGATCTCAAAAGAAATAAAATACCCTTTATTGATACAAAATCAATCAAATTTCCTCAAATAAATAAGACAATATCTCAAATTAATTAAATTGATACTAAATCAATTTCATAAAAATCTCCAAAAAAAATAATTTAATTCCTCAACTCCAACTTTTCCACCTAAGCCCGCAACTATGAATCCAACTTCATCCTCGGTACCTGAAACTGTAGGGGGGTGAGACAGTAGGAAAAACCATAACAAGGATTTCAAAGAGTTTCATGATAAATTTGCTTTACAAAAATATATATATGCTTTTAAACAAAATACATATATGCAATTTTAGCAAAATAACAATTAACAAATTTTTGAAATAAAATCATCCAAGCCATTCAAGGTATGATGATCCCTACACTGTAAAACCATTATTCCACACTGGATCATTAAATTCATCAAGTTTTGCCTTCTCTGAGACTCTCGACTTCCTCACTGTATTTCTCATTCTCTAATTTTCTATCTCTACTTTCTTTCAGTTAATACCATCTTTGCACAAACATTCTATTTATAATGCAATTCCACCGACACTTGAACAAAAATCTACCACCAAAAATCAAATCAAATATCTAAAGTCTAACATAATAATCACAATTGACCCGCCACCCATGCTTCCTGTACTTAATATATATATATCACACATATATATATACAAGTGGATGCCTAATAAATCAAACTCAATAAATATTTAAATTGAGTAATTCTCCAAAATAAAAATTAATTATCAATTATGACAATTTAAAAAAAAAAATCATGAAATAAAATATAATTTCAACTCTTAAAAATCCGAGTTGTCACATTCTCCACCACTTAAAAAGAATTTCGCCCCAAAATTCAGATCCAACAGACTTTGCATACCCGAAAACATCAAAAGTGGTAAAATAAAATCCTAAAATCCTTACCCCAGGAGATGTGAAATTCAGTGACATGAAAAAAGATTGTGGTAGCTGACAGTGCTAGTTACCTGCCCACACACTCTGTAGCCGTTGTGGTAACTAGATGATGCCGTCACCCATCCACAAAATAAAACCGATAGTGATCTAGGGACACCTGCCCCTAATCACTGATAGTAATTATCCTAATAACTGTCAGTGAATGACATCCGGACGCACACACCCGGCTACAAGTGGTAGCTAGTCAATACTAAACACTCGCCCACACACACCGGACAACATCACCACTAAACTCACACTTCCGGCTAGGTACAGGCTCTAATACCATTCTGTAACGCCCCGAATTTTTTCTAAATAAAATCCTCGATTTCATTAAATCAAAATACTTCATAAAAGACACTCAGGATCGAAATAAAATACATTTTATTGATACAAAATCAATCAAATTTCCTCAAATAAATAAGACAACATCTCAAATTAATTAAATTGATGCTAAATCAATTTCCTAAAAATCTCTAAAAAAAATAATTTAATTCCTCAACTCCAACTCTTCCACCTAAGCCCGCAACTATGAATCCAAGTTCATCCTCGGTACCTGAAACTGTAGGGGGTGAAACAGTAGGAAAAACCATAATAAGGATTTCAAAGAGTTTCATGATAAATTTGCTTTACAAAAATATATATATGCTTTTAAACAAAATACATATATGCAATTTTAGCAAAATAACAATTAACAAAATTTTTGAAATAAAATTATCCAAGCCATTCAAGGTATGATGATCCCTACACTGTAAAACCATAACCATTATTCCACACTGGATCATCAAATTCATCAAGTTTTGCCTTCTCTGAGACTCTCGACTTCCTCACTATATTTCTCATTCTCTAATTTTCTATCTCTGCTTTCTTTCAGTTAGTACCATATGTGCACAAACACTCTATTTATAATGCAATTCCACCGACACTTGAACAAAAATCTACCACCAAAAATCAAATCAAATATCTAAAGTCCAACATAATAATCACAATTGACCCGCCACCCATGCTTCCTGTACTTTACTTGTCTTTATATCTTCATTCATTTAATATTTTAACAATTGCAATCTCATCCCAAAAAGAAAACACCACGTGTAAAATTGAAGGCCAAGCACAATTCAAGGCCAAATACAATGAACCCAAAAAAATGGACCCGCCACCACATATAGTTGCTTTCTATACATCAGTTTAACAAACAAAAATCTATCTCCATAATAAGTGCAAAATTAATTGGGCCAAGAATTTAACTAATGGGACCCACAACTTTATCATAATTTCCTTATTCTTCTCACCATTTCGCTGGCAGCATCCATGTTGCCCATACAAGGTACTAAATATATGTATATAATATATATACAATGTATACAATTGTAATAAACTCAACTCAACCCATCAAATAAGTGAAACCTGCTAATTATCAATTTTTTTTCTTCTTCTTTTATCCCTTCGGCTGCCTCTCCAACATCATTTCGGCACTGCTCCCTTTTGATTCAATATCCATCAAATTTAATATATATATATCACACATATATATATACAAGTGCATACCTAATAAATCAAACTCAATAAATATTTAAATTGAGTAATTTTCCAAAATAAAAATTAAATTATCAATTATAACAATTTAGAAAAAATCATAAAATAAAATATAATTTCAACTCTTAAAAATCCGGATTGTCATAGTAACCTTCCATGAAGTCACGGAGCTCGAGGAAATAACCGGGAGCGAAAACTAACATAAAAAGGGTCAAATGGTACCCTATGGCACCAATGACAACAAAAGGGACAAAATCTAGTTCAAACTAAACCAAGAACACCACTAAATGGCTTACACAAGATTAACAAAATTTAGTAGGAAGGAACGAAGCGATAAAGGCCTGAAGAAACAATCAACCAAACAAAACCTACAAGGCAGCACCATTTTGGTCGACCGAAATGGAGCTTTGGTCTGCCGAAATGAGCTAGGAAAAAGAAGGAAAAGAGCCTTCATTTTGGTCAACCGAAATAACAAACCGATCGACCGGTTTATGACTCGAAACTGTAAAAGGCTATTGGAATTGGACTTTTACTGTTCAATTGAAATTCAAAGGCCATCGGTCGACTGAAACAAGCTACGAATCGACCGAAACAGGTTGAAAATGCAAAAATGAACCTGTTATGCACCAAAAATGAAAAAAAGTCCCCAAGGCTCAATCGGATCCCCCATTGCATGATCAAATGGAATTGTATGCAAGTGTGTGATGATGTGAACATACACGCAAGTGTAAAATAATATTTTAAACATGCTGAAATGGCCTATAGTCTTATTACAATTCATTTACAACATTTGACATGTCAAACCTCCAAGTTAGAAAAATTACATTTCATAGGCAAAACTTAAACATGCTAACACCTGCATGTGAACATGAATGATTCTAAAGAAACTTTCATTCTGCAATTCACCCAAAGCAAGTACAAATCTCCAATCTTGTATCCTGTACCTGAAATATGCCCTAGTAACTTTGGGGTGAGCAACATAAAGCTACTTGTAGGAAATGAGTATGCATCGACCTAACATTTTACTTGTTTGCATGATTTAAACATCGTGGTTCATTCCACCTAACATCTATGTCAAAGGTGAGACTCAGGGAACATCCTAAGCTACCTAAGATCATTTCTAGCATAAAACACATCATTCATGCAATTGAAACAACATAGGAGCATGCTATACAAAGCGACAAAATATAGATTCTCAAAGTCATCAACTTAAAATCTAAAATATGTAAACAACTAAATATAACCATTTAGCATAATTGGAATTTCTAGTACCACACGTCAGGACATAGATTCTCAAAGTAATCAACTTGAAATCTAAAAGTGTGCAAACGACTAAAGTGGGTCATGCCACCTAACGTCTATGTTCCAAATGAATCTATAGGATCATTCCTAAGTCACATTTGAACAATATAGCATAGATGTACTTAGCAACATCAAAATTTATAATTATTTATTAAAAATCATAAAACATTAATGTACTTAACAACATTAAAGCATGCTATGATTCATTCAAAATCATAATGCATAAATGTACTTAACAACATTAAATTGCCAATAACCAAAACCATAAGTCACAATTAAGCATTGGTGGTCAACTTGGAATTGAATGCGAAAACAAATAGTGGAAGACTTGGACATCACGTCTCAGACTAAACTAAGAACAAAATGGTTATTCCGGGCATTAACCCGCTGGAAAGACCACCCTCGTGCGCACTATATCAATGGGGAGAACTCATACCTCCTGCACTAGAGCCAAACTCTAGCCATATCACAGTAACAATGTTCCAAGACTCCAAAATAAATAAGTTAACAACTTATATACGAAACATATATATACAACACGAAACTACATTCCATGCACAAGTAGGTTGAAACCACACAATACATGCTCTAAATCTACAACTACTATAGGATGACAATGTCGAATCTTCAGAGCGCGATTCGTTACGCGCTATAATAACATCATATGTCGAATCTTCAGTGTGTGATTCGTTATACACTATCACAATATTTTTCAACATTGAAATATAAACTCATGCATCCATTACAAGTCTAAAATCATGCTTCAAACATATTATCAATGTCAAATACATGATTTAATCAATAATACAATAGAAACAGAAATTAATCAAATAACTAATTAATTTCTCTAGGTTTCAAATCCCAATCAAATGGTCCCTAATTAACACATATTATACAACATAACTTAATCATTACATATATCAATTCAAAAACTTGATTAGGCCATTTGAACAACAAAATGGAATTTAATCAAATCATGAGAATCAAATCTCTAAATTGTAAAACAACATCAAATGGTCCCAAATTAACATATGCTAACATACAAGCTCTAGTCATCACAAGTATCAAGTTAAAAACTTAATTAGGCCAATGGAACCATTAAATGGATTTTAATTAATCATTTAGATTTTCATACTCATCTAATTTCTCTCAAATTAAAGTATGTTAAAGGACATGCCAAGACTTAATTTAAAAGAACATCACAAGTTCATTTCATGCAAGGTACGGCCATGGAATTTATTCTTTCACAAAAGATAAATATTAAATAAAAAGTGCAATTCTTATTCAAATAATTCCAATTTAATATATGTTAACAAACATATTAAAACAAAATTAATCATCATGCCACAACTTAATTCTAAACTATATAAATCCTTGAAAACTAAATCTTATACAAAGAAATAAATAATACTAATTTTTCTAGATTTGATACAAAGCATGCAAATAAGTTGTATAATCATGGAGAACACTCTATACAACGCATATAAAATCCTAAAACATCCCCTACCTCAATTTGAGATGAAAATCTCAAAAGCCACCAAAATGAAACGGCTCCGAATCCGATGATACTTCGGGGTTTTGTCAGGGACAACGCTGTGAACATTAACCCCAAGGAAGCCCCATCAAATACACAACTTGACTTCAAACCCAAACTCAAGAAATGGCCAAAATGGGATTCCAATAGGTGGAATCGAAGGCCTAGCCAAGGCAAACACAAAACACTAAGGCACTACGACGTTTCATTGAAGGGAAGAAGCTCAAAAGAGGAGAGAGAAGATGGCAGCCCTTGGCTGCCATGGACTCCGGCCAAGAGAGGGGAGAGAGAGTGAGAAATCTAATTTTTCACTTAAAGGTCCCCTATTTATAGAAAATCTCAAAAAGTGCCCCGATCGGGCTCCGCCGGGTCCGGAAAAGTGAAATTCGCACAGACGCGCTCAAACGGAAAAACTCCATAAACAAAAAAGATTTGAAATGAGAAAATATGAACAATGGAAGAAACGACGTTGAAAATTGAGTTCCGTGTAAGAAGATATGCCCTGAACAAGTTCGGCGACAACTAGGGCAGAAACTCTGAAATTGGAGAAAAACTACCAGAAGGGAATTCTAAGAGTACATGACTTGATGAAAAGTAAAAATAAACCCCGTACAAGAATCCAGGCTCAAAATGAGGCATTTTGTAATAACTTTCAGTAATTGCACAATGGCCACTCTAAAAAGTGAAAACTGCACTAATGGCCCAGAATGAAAATATCTTCCAAAAATATTTTCTTAAAAACCCCTGAAATAAAATATCTTCAAAATATATTTACAAAAAACACCCCAAGAGAAGAAAAAGATTCTGAAAAACTATGCATTCATGCCCCTATGGACACCGGGAGCAACTATAGTATTTTACCACAAAAGTAAAGATACGTATTTCGTGGAAACCACCTAGAATGAAGATACGTAAAGTAAAAAACCAACTCCGAACACAAGAAGTGAGGCTATGCCAACAAAGTGACAAATAGGGAAAAGACGAAATAGGGAAGAGGACGAAATAGGGAAAAAGACGAAAAGTGAATAATGTCAAAAAATAAAAAAATGTGGAATTGACTCAGTGCTCAAAGGAAGTTGTCAATCCAAAGAAAAGAGTCTCAGAACTCACTCCAGAGCACTCAAGACGACACTAAACGACGAGGATTTGAACCCAGGAAGGAAAAAAATCAACGAAAAAAAAATATCCGTGAAAATCTGAGAAAAAGAAAGGAAGGAAAAAGACCGAGTCATTATAAATTCTGCAACAGGAAGTTTGTTTGCATTTTCTGTTGTGAAAGAGGAAGCCACCAAGTTGGGTACTGTTATCGGATTGACCATGGGACAACTTATATCTTTCTGATGTGAAAATGAATATAGCTTACAATTTTTGAAAATGACTTAATTTTGGGAAAAATTAAAATTGTTTTCATGTTAAAATTCTAATCAACAACAAATGCCGAATTAAACAATTTCATCTCCAAACAAATTGATTGTTGAATTTCATAGTTTTCACAATCTATGATTCATAAAAAAGAAAACCTCTTCTCAAGTCTGACCTAGATTAATACACCATTGTGGCATAATTCTATCAATTAG